AGACAAGTTGCTGTCCTTTTGTTCTTCAGTCTAGTTGTGGAGGGTGTTGCTTCACTGGCCCATGTTGGTATTATCATTGCGCCCTTCCCTGGTGAGGCAGTCGCTCACAAGCCATTGGAGGGCCGCTCACAGCAGCTGGCGAAAGCTCTCGCCTGCTGCTGGCCAGCCCCCTGCAGCCTACCCTGTCACCTGCGACTCACAGCAGCCCAGCTCCTGGTCGAGCTGTTGTTCACCATCTTAGCTGTAGAGGGCGCAGTGTCAGTGGTTCTCATGTGGGATCTGAACCAGGGCCCTGCTGGTCAGAGCTGGCGTCCCAAGCCAACTCCTAACCAACATGCCACTTCGCTGGCTGAGTTGAAGGTTTTTGAGCAGAGCAGTGATAATGCTGTAAGACTGGGCCAGGTGGGAGGCAGTTAGGGAGCTCTGGTAGTGGTCAAAATGAGAGGTCCTGCAAGTAGTGACCAAGGGTTGTCACTGACAACAGAAGGTGAAATTGACACTTTAAATCCAGGTATGACTAGACCATAAGCTAATTGGGGCAGGTTGCCAAGTGCAGTTTAGATATAGAGACAATGACGGTGGATTTAAATTCAACAGCTGTTAATTCCTGCTATGTGCTAGTGTTTTCACAAATGTCTCTTCATAAGCCCCCTGCAAGGTCGAAACAATCACTCTCAATTTCCAGAGAGGGAAACCCAGGCACAGTGGTTGAAGTGATATGTTCAAGGTCACACCTTGAATGAATGGCAGAGCTGGAATTGAGATCAGGTCTTCTCATGCAGGCTGTGAACATTTCTTGTTCCATTTAGGAAGAGATCTTACAGGTGACAGGATTTTAACAACTTTTGGGGGATGAGAGCAGAGAAGCATATGATTGGCTGTGAGGTGCAGAGGAACTAAAGCTCTGTTGTGTGTGCCCCTCCCCCCCAATGTATCAGCCAGGAAACAGAATTGGATAGAAAGAGCTGTCAACTAGCTAAGAAGTTGTTAAGCAACTGAAAAGTTAAAAAAAATGAACATGGAGATAATAACTGCAAGAAACAGCTACCAACCCTAGGGCTGAGAGAACAAAGGGATGAGGTTGGAATGCTTAAAATTGCCATGCTCGAAGGAGAGGATTTGGGGAGCTGAAATTCCAGCCTCTGAGGAGAGGGCACTGTTCCAGCTCTGAGCCTGGAGGAGGGGTCCTGAGGTCCTGGGAGTCAGACCTCTGAAGAGAGGGCTGGGTGATGAGGCTGGCTCTGCAAGTTTTGGCAAACTTTAAGCTGGGTTCAGCGGCCG